GGGGCTCCGGAAAACGTAATTCGGTCTTCGCGTTTCGGTTTTCGGCCCTCGCGAAGAGCATTTTCGGTCTTCGGGGCTTCGGAAAACGTTATTCGGTCTGCGCGTTTCGGTTTTCGGCCTTCGCGAAGAGCATTTTCATCCCGGTTGAAATAAAGGGGGAGGGGTTGACAACCGCAGTTTCGTAAGGGCTCCAGGGTTGCAGTCTACAAAAAGCCCTGACCCAAGGGCATTGGGTTTGTACAAAATGACATGGGCCAGAGTGGGCTTATACAAAAAGGTTATGCCTGAAGATCACTATCTTGTGCTGAAAAGTGCATAAAACAGCCATTTAGCAAAGTGAGTTCTCTACTAAATGGTATCAAATACCTGGTCGAGGACATGATTTAAGGGCAAGATTTTTGGCAACAAAAATGTTGCAGTTTTTCAGGGTTTTTGGACTTGTAGATGGCGCAACAGTGTGTTGCCCCCTGGAGTTCGAAGACGAAGCAACAAAAAAATACAAACCATCAATTTTCACCTCGGAGTATGTATTTGTATCTGACTCAGGCGACTAAAGAATCTGACTCCAAGAAACGAACACTCAAACGTGTACAAAAAAGGGTACCCTGACCCCCTGTTTTTCCTTGATTTTGGCCCTGTACAAAAAGGGTACCCTGACGTCCTCATGTCTCATATAAATGTTCTCTAATTGTTTTCGATTATAACTTGGATGCCGATTTTGACTCTACAAAATGGGAGGGTGTAAGTTTCGGCATCTGCCAAAAAGTGCTTTGTTACAAAATGACCCCTTTGTAAGGGCCTCGAGCTACCCCTATCTGTAGAGGAAATTTCAACGGGGATGCATTTTCGGTCTTCGGGGCTCCGGAAAACGTAATTCGGTCTTCGCGTTTCGGTTTTCGGCCTTCGCGAAGAGCATTTTCGGTGTTCGGGGCTCCGGAAAACGTTATTCGGTCTTCGCGTTTCGGTTGTCGGCCTTCGCGAAGAGCATTTTTGATCTTCGGGGCTTCGGAAAACGTTATTCGGTCTTCGCGTTTCGGTTTTCGGCCTTCACGAAGAGCAGTTTCGGTCTTCGGGGCTCCGGAAAACGTAATTCGGTCTTCGCGTAAGAGCATTTTTGGTTTTGGGTCTTCGGGCCCCTGCCCCTCCCGCCGGGCCAAGCTTTCGGGATTCGGCCCTCGGCTTTCGGTCTTCGGAGGTACCCGGACCCTTTTTTTGGTGAAAATGGCAAAAACGGTTTTCGGTTTTCGGTCTTCGGGCCCCTGCCCCTCCCGCCGGGCCGGGCCAAGCTTTCGGGGTTCGGCCTTCGGCTTTCGGTCTTTGGAGGTACCCGGACCCCTTTTTTGTGCGAAAACGGCAAAAACGGTTTTCGGTCTTCGGGCCCTTGCCCCTCCCGCCGGGCCGGGCCAAGCTTTCGGGATTCGGCCTTCGGCTTTAACTTTCGGTTTTCGGAGGTACCCGGACCATTTTTTGGGCGAAAATGGCCAAAACGGTTTTCGGTCTTCGGGCCCCTGCCCCTCCCGCCGGGCCGGGCCAAGCTTTCGGGATTCGGCCCTCGGCTTTCGGTCTTCGGAGATGCCCGGACCATTTTTTTTGCGAAAACGGCAAAAACGGTTTTCGGTTTTCGGTCTTCGGGCCCCTGCCCCTCCCGCCGGGCCGGGCCAAGCTTTCGGGATTCGGCCTTCGGCTTTCGGTCTTCGGAGGTGCCCGGGCCATTTTTTTTGGAAAATTAAAATGACAAAAACGGTTTTCGGTTTTCGGTCTTCGGGCCCCTGCCCCTCCCGCTGCCCAGAGCATCCTCGATTGAAAAAAATCAAGTGTACGATTGAAAAAAAACAAATTTCAAGTGTCGATTGAAACTTGAATTTTATGATACTTTTTCAAGTGGAGGCATGTTCTTGTCGATTGAAAATTCGATTGAAAAAAACATATTTTTCGATTGAAAATTCGATTGAAAATTCGATTGAAATTTGATAAGGAAAAAAGTCCTTTAAGTAGCTTTAAAACTTGAAGTTTTTTGACTATATCTGTGTACTTAAAAAGCTTATTACTCAGCTGACTGAAAAAACTTTGTGTTCTTGTTGGTTTCTGGGCTTCTTGGTAGCTTTGGGCTGGACTGCCCTATAGGGTTCTTGAGTTATCTCTGGCTGTGGGCTGGACAGCCATGTGGGTTGTCTGGGGTTGCTGGCTTTGGGCTAGTGTTTTTTGGCTGGCTTTGGGCTGGCAGCCCTGGGTTAATTGTTTTTGCTTTGGGCTGGACAGCCCTGTGTTTTGTTACTGACTTTGGGCTGGGCAGCCCTGTGTCTTTTGGCTGGCTTTGGGCTGGACAGCCCTGTGTTTTTTTGTTGGCTTTGGGCTGGACAGCCCTGTGTTTTGTTGCTGGCTTTGGGCTGGACAGCCCTGTGTTGTTTTTGTTGGCTTTGGGCTGGACAGCCCTGTGTTGTTTTTGTTGGCTTTGGGCTGGACAGCCCTGTGTTTTGTTGCTGGCCTTGGGCTGGACAGCCCTGTGTTGTTTTGGTTGGCTTTGGGCTGGACAGCCCTGTGTTTTGTTGCTGACTTTGGGCTGGACAGCCCTGTGTTTTTTGCTGGCTTTGGGCTGGACAGCCCTGTGTTTTTTGCTGGCTTTGGGCTGGACAGCCCTGTGTTTTGTTGCTGGCTTTGTGCTGGACAGCCCTGTGTTTCTTGTTGGCTTTGGGCTGGACAGCCCTGTGTTTCTTGTTGGCTTTGGGCTGGACAGCCCTGTGTTTTTTGTTGGCTTTGGGCTGGACAGCCCTGAGTTTTTGCTGGCTTTGGGCTGGACAGCCCCTGGGGCCCTACAGGGTTGTTGCTGGCTTTGGGCTGGGCAGCCCTGTGTTTGTTGTTGCCTGGACACCCTGTGGTTATTGGTTGCCTTTGGGCTGGACAGCCCTGGACTGAAGCTATTTACTTGCTTGCAGGCATTTCACCATGTCAAAGAAAAGGGGTGGAGCCAGGAGGACACCTGTGCCTCAAATAGATGAAGAGCATCTGCTCGATGTCTGCATGAGCCATGTCAAGAAGGTTGGTGAGGCAGCTGCCTTTGCAATGGGGCCATACCTGTCAATGGATGCAAGTCAAGCTGTAAGAGGTGGGCCTCTGGGAGATGTTGCGCACCTTCTGGTCGACCTTGGAAAGGTGTCACCCACCTTAGAGTTCAAATACTCCAGCTTGAAGGCTTGCTTCACGCAGGTCTTGCAGATGCACCCTGCAGTGAAAGACAAGTGGCCAATTTCAGAACATGCAAATGTTCCCAAGAATTTGGCAGATGCTGTCCTTGTGGTTTGCAACCATGCAAGGAGGATCTCCAGAGACAACACAAAGTTTGCTGAGGCCTGCGCCAAGCTGAATTCTTATCAGGTGGAGAAGTTGGAAGCCATCAGAGCTTTGGTGAACCATAGAAACAAACATGATGTGGAATCAACCAGGCGCAGCTCACAAAAAAGGAAACTGAAGAAAAGGAGACAGCTGCCATTCCAAGCCCCAAGAAGAAAGCTAAGAAGAGAGCTGCCAGCCCTGCCACTTCTTCAGGGTCAAGTGAGACTTGGAGTGCCCTGCAGGCCTTAGACATCCCAGCCACCCAGACTGATGGGGAGAACTCCTTGCTGAATTCAGCCAAGAAGTCTGCACCTGTGCCAGCCAGAAAAGCAGTACTGAGGGAAAAGGTTGCCCAAAGCAAAGGATTCAAGAGACCTGCTGCAGACCTGGTGAAGAAGCCAGCCTCTAAAAGCACAGGCAAACATAAGCATGAGCCCTTTCCTGATGATTACAAGGTGACTGAGGAGCTCAAGGTGATGCCCTACCAGAAGCTGGGCTCATGCGCTTTGAGAATCAAGAATGGCAGGCAGCTTATCCAGGTGGTCTCCCCCCATGGATTTGAAGATTCGAAGAGTTTGGCTGTGCAGATGAAGAGGATGTTTGAGAAAGGCAAAAGCTTTGGTGAAGTCAAAGCTTGGAAAGAGAAGAAGGTGTCTGGATAGCCAACAAAGGAATGGTGGAAAAACAAGCTTGAGTGTTTGGTTTTGGGCTGTGGGCTGGACAGTTTCAAAGAATTGTGGGCTGGATAGCCCCACACATGGGCTGGAGTAGCCCCTACATAGGATATGGGCTGGACAGCCCTAAAGAATTCTGGGCTGGATAGCCCCACATATGGGCTGGAGTAGCCCCTATATAGGATATGTGCTGGACAGCCCTAAAGAATTCTGGGCTGGATAGCCCATAGAGAATATGGGCTGGGGAGCCCCAAAGAATTGTGGGCTGGATAGCCCCACACATGGGCTGGAGTAGCCCCTACATAGGATATGGGCTGGACAGCCCTAAAGAATTCTGGGCTGGATAGCCCCACATATGGGCTGGAGTAGCCCCTATATAGGATATGTGCTGGACAGCCCTAAAGAATTCTGGGCTGGATAGCCCATAGAGAATATGGGCTGGGGAGCCCCAAAGAATTGTGGGCTGGATAGCCCCACACATGGGCTGGAGTAGCCCCTACATAGGATATGGGCTGGACAGCCCTAAAGAATTCTGGGCTGGATAGCCCCACATATGGGCTGGAGTAGCCCCTATATAGGATATGTGCTGGACAGCCCTAAAGAATTCTGGGCTGGATAGCCCATAGAGAATATGGGCTGGGGAGCCCCAAAGAATTGTGGGCTGGATAGCCCCACACATGGGCTGGAGTAGCCCCTACATAGGATATGGGCTGGAC